CTAATAGCGATCTGCGAGTTTAGTGCAAAAACGCATGATCGCACCGGGGAGCCTGGTGCGTTCCAGTCTGGGTTGAATGAAATCTAGACATGTATGAAAATTGATATTATCTTCCAAGAGCTGCACTTGGCTAATGGAAGCATATGCAAAATTTCAGTGTCTAGGCCTACTTTGGTGTCGAATTGTAGCTCCCGGACTAACGCACACACGCACCATGGGTCTTCAAAATAAGCGTTTTTGCTCACCGTAGATATAGCCCTGCTGGGTAAAAGCGCCTAATCATGCAAAAACGCATAATCGCACTAGCAGTCCTGGCGCGCGCCGCTATCGATCAATAATGCGTTTTTCCACTGCATCATATATGTGAACTCAGGCTCGATCATGCATTTTTGCGCCAAATCTGCATCATTCAAATCTTTAACACAATGGAAGATCCCTGCATTACGGTTTAACACGCGGACTCACGCTGTATGTGCTTTAGCCGTTCCTTGCATACAAGGGGAAGGACGTCGGCTAGGATAGTAACTTTGCATTACGGTGCTGCGTTGCATTATTCTACCGCAATTGATCAACAAGTTTGCAAGAAGAGAAATGAATAGTTTCCGTTGAGCAATCGTTCATCAAAAAATTTAAATCTGACAATGCACAGGGTGTCGGGAGAGGATTACGAAATTCACAAAATGCATTCGATTTTGAAGTTGTGATGAAACTGTTTTTGTCAGGTCCTTGAGCAGGAAATTTAGCGTCCATGCTAATTAAGGCCATACGTTAATGTAGAATATCCCTCTAAAATTTCAGCTTTGCAGCTTGTCCGGTACGTGAAGTCGCCTTTTCGCTACAAATATCTCTGACGTGCCCAGAGGCATCGCACAGTTGCAAACCGAGACTCAAATTAAGTGTAAAATTTCCCAGGTGGACGATAGACATTCTGACAAATTTTCAGTTATCTTTCTTCAGCTAGTTTTTGAGTTGGCAAGATGCCAACCGCGGTTTGATGTAGGTGCATGCGATAACTGAATTTGAAATATCTAGCTCATACATGGACAGAGAACACCAGCATCAGCGCAAAATTTCAGCTTTCCAGTTTGTCTGGTTCTCGAAGTCGAGGAATGCCAATGTTGTTTGGCAAGGCTGTGGTGAACAAAGCTGGCCAGCATTGTGCGGAATGATGCACGTTCCAGAGATAAATGCTGCAGTCACCTGAAGATTACAGTACCAAAGCAATTTTTTTTCTTAAAACGATGTCTTAATAAGTGTGTAACATTTATGAATGCAAAAACGCACTCCGATTATAGCAGTTTTCAACGAATGACGCCTGTTTTCTAAACTCGCATTTAATCCACTGTCCAGTGCCCGCGTTTCTTAACTCCGCTGCTGACAGTATAGCTAACCCCAATAAAATTTGTTCTCCTTCAGTTTAACCTTATCGTTTCTCTTTTACAAATTTCCAGCACATTCTGGCAAATTTGGTACTTTCTTAATCCGCCGCGGTCGTAGGACACTCGGAATAATACCGCTTATCGTTATATCACATCTGACTCTTTATTTCCGAAATTTATGATATCTCATACGTCAGCTAACTCAAGCTTTGCTCGTATTCCGTGTTCAAATATGTGCCTTAGATTATTTGCAGTGTTAAACGGTGCTCCAGGGTATCTGAACATTCTGGAAGCGCTAAATTCATGGCAGCTTGTTAAAGAGCTGCGAAATGCAACGGGATTACCAGCAGCAACATCATTCAAACATGTCACACCAGCTGGTGCGGCAATTGGGACACCACTGACAGCTGCTGAATCGAGAAGCTACATGGTATCGGATTTAGCCATAAGTGCCAAACAACCAACATTGGCTGCTGCATGTGCGAGGGCTAAAGGTCAATTTTATAATTCTCAGCGGTGGCACACTCAGGTTTTATTTGAAGGGAATTAACTGCGTTTATCAGTTTTTTTTTTTTTTT